CACCGACAACAGTAACAGCAATTAAAGTGGATTTTCATGAAAATGAGTTTTCCTAATAGTTTATTCCAGGCCGAAAAATAAAATCATGGCGATAAAACGCGTTGATTAAGACGAAGGCAGGTAAGAGACGAGGTTTTACGACGATGATGAGTTTCTATGACCAGAGATAGGCATCTCAGACACAGCTGGCACTTGAGACTTGGTGCTGATTTTGGTTTTGGCCACGGGCTTTGGGCCTGGTTAGTTCGGCTGGGTGGCTGGCATAATTATGCATATTATGTTGCAGGGTCTTAAGTGCATATTTGTGTTAGCTATTAGGTAAATTGAGTCTAATTTATTGCCAATTAGCAGGGTTATTAAAATCAAGTGATTATCCTAGAGCTCGTTAATGGTTTCACCGAGCGGGTTAAGTTCATAATTAATATCACGCATACGCCCCGGAGGTCACACAAAAAATCTAAGACTCTCGTTGCCGAAGTACTTTCAAACTTTTGGTCAACTTTCTAGTGCATCTCGAAATTTTCATCTTGCTCTTTTGCTTTGGTATAAACTCTCTTGCATTTATTTATGCACTTTTTCGGGACCCCTTAACTCGATGGCTGCAATTGAGGCTCGCTTCAACTTTGAACTTTTGACTACGTCGAACCAAGAACTTTTATATCGATAAGTGGCAAATAATAAAATTGCCTGTGGCAGCTACTCACGCTTTTGATTGACTCTTGGGAACGTACCTGCAACGAAACAGAGAGGAAAGAGTCAATATGAATTAAATGCTTTTCTGAACATTAAGAAGCTGCACAGTAAAAAATATTAAAGAGGTATTAATAAGGTGTAAATGAATGGATAAGATTTGTATAATAAGATATGGTTTAACAATTAGCACACATTTTCATACATTATATATTGATTGGTTATCTCTTATTAATAAATATTTAATATGATGTCTGGCAATGAGACCTAAGTAGTATAAAATCAATTCTGGTGAAATTGAATGGAGTTTAAAGCTCCTAATAAACTCAAGTGAGTTTTAAGACACTTTTAACTATATATTTAAACAATTTTTGTAGTGCATAGGTGCTCGATGCATGTCTTCTCTGTTCAGGGGTTAATAAGGGGTGGCAATTAAATGACCCGAGAAGAAGGAGAAAATTGACATAATGGAAGTGCTGGCGGCAGTCAAAGAGATTGAGGGGGCGGATAAGAACGGCGACTGCCACTCGAGCATCCTTGAGTGTCCTGCCTGCAGAGGCGATTCCAAAGATACAATGCAGTATCACCAGCAGCCAGTCCTGTGGCCCTGGCACGGAAAAGAAAGCAACGAATGGAGCAAGGGCAGCTGGTTGCTGGTTTGCTGGGCTGCTGGGCTGGCAAAGGACTCAATTCAATAAGCGCCATATTATGCTGTCTAGTCGGGTTTCAGCTGAAGCACCTCGTGTTGCATGCCGCTAATCAATCATGGCGTGGCATCGCTCGGGGCAGCCAACCAACTACTCTTCCACCAGCTGCCTTCAATGGGCAATTATTGATTGATGCCAAGTGCACATCGCTGGCGGGGATTGGGCTCGAGTCTTCTCGCTTTTCTATGGGCTGCAGGATGGGATGCGACTGCCGCTGAAGTGGCTGCACTGTGCCGTCGTAACCCTGATCTAGTGCCCCTCTTTTTCTGCAGCATCTGCTGTCAATGTTAAGATTTTAGACATTGAAATTATTCCTTTGCGGCGCCTCGAAGCTTTAAGTTTTTAATTTCTTGTTTTCCCTTGCTAACTGAGTGTATATGTGTGTGTGTTGGCCAAGTTTCGTGTCGGTTTGCCATTCCGAATGCAGCACTTCATTGGCTTCTCTTTTCCTGTGTGGTCCTGAGGTTTTTGCGGCTCTGGACCTTATTATTTTTTTACCAAAACTTTTCCTAGGTCTTCTCGACCGTTCTGGGGTTTTTTGTTATACTTAAAAGAAAGAAATACAATTTATAGTATTTTCCATAATTGCAAGTCAATGTTGCTGTTGGCCCCCCAAAGAAGTATGCTACAAGAAAATTATTTTCCACAGATTTTACCCAAAACGTGTTCTGCATACTTAAGGCCACCGAAACCAAACAAATTTATTTAAATGAGTCAGGAAAATTAAGTGGAAATGCGTGTGCCACAGAAAACGGGAGGAGGTGTGTGTTTGTCGGAAATGAACAAAATACGAGAGATGTAGATAAGTCGAAGCGGGGCAAATTTTAATGCCGCACCAGCAAACCTTAGACAAATAAAACTATAAATATAAACGAAGTCAGCGAGACGAGGGGCGGCGTATTTACATAAGTGCCCTGTGACTGGCGCACGTGTTTGATATTTCCTTTAGTTTTATGTCAGACAATGTCAAACTCACCCAGACCCACACACACATCCGACCGTTGATAATTCAATAAACTAAACAAGATTCTGTGGCAGATTTATGGGTATGCTGAACCCGACTTTCGGCAGTTGAAACTGCTCCAGGGCGGTTTATAAATCTTCATTTCGGCACAATGACGCACACATACACACACACACACACACACACACACACACATACAGAGAGAAACATGGCGTTCTTAGTCGCTTATTAAAATGCCATTTTAGAGTGGGGGAAACTGGGCGCGGCTGGTTCATAAATTGCCAACACTTATGCTCAATAAATGGCCATAAATCTGAGCCCGACTCGCTGGCGGCATTAAAATGCGTAGCGACACGGCCAATGGGAAGGCCCAGAAGTGGCAGAGAAATCTGGGACAGGAGCGGCAAAAATTAGCTACAGCTGAATATGCCACAGATGAAAAATATGCCCATTGTGAGCGAGTGGGCCAAATCTCTGTTTGTTGTCGAATCATTTTCCACGGCTGTAATTTGGTTTTAAAAACGCCAACATTTGTTACATCCTGGCAACGGTTTTCTGTGTCCTTAACGTGCCGACATTAAATTGATGGCCCAGACAGCTTGAGGGCTGGCTAAATTGATTAATTGACAGTTGACTCAGCGCCATTTCGCCGTCCACTTTTGGCCATGGCTTGTGCGAAAATGCTCGTCCTAAAAAACTAGCCAGCCAATTTAGACTGCTTCATTTCACAAAAGTGCATTAAATTTCGAGTCATTAGGCAGCAGTTTATATCTCTCCCTCGATTTTGTCCTTGGGAGTGCCTTCCGCCTTCTCTAATATTGCCAACATTAGCTGGACATCTTCTATCTGCGCTTTACACATCGCTGGCTGCAATTCTTGGAGCTATCTTGCTGTGCCATTGCCATTGTGAGGCGTTCGCCATGCAAATGTAGGCAAAAATAATGAGATAGTTTTACTTATGCGCAATCATCGAAGGAGACAACGTCTTTTCGAAGGGAAATTCACTAAAATGCGAATTTTCTATTATTATCTGTATTTTCTATCTTTCAAAAAGGAATTCAAGCCTTTAAGTTGGCAATAACTAGTTAAAGTGCTATGAACGACATTTAACTATATGAATCCTGTAGTGTTGCTTATAAGCTATTTTATAAATATGTTAAAATAATTTTAGTTTCTCACTCATATCACTCATTATATTATTGTTTATTTATTTTGACATTATTATTATATATTTTCTAAATGAATAAATAACTCAAAGTATATAGAATATAATTAGATTCTTCAAAATTCAATCCAAATACCTATTTGAATTCATTTTCCTTGCGTAATGAATATTGAAAAGAAATCAGTGAGTTTTGTCCTTGTGCAAATGTCCTACTTAACAATCTTGTCGTTCAGCTGTATCTGTCTCTCTGTGTTTTCCCCCGTTTTGTGTATTTTAGTTTGGCTTTCGATTTCGACTTTCTAATTGAGCAATTTCCTTGGGATAATTGCTTTTGCGCAGAGCAGCAGTGGGACTTGGATTCGGATTCCGATTGGGAATCACTTCCGCGCCCACCGAAACCGCCCACTAATGCCAGCCGACAATCTGGACTGGAATTGGACAATTAATTAGTGTTAGTAGCAATTCATAAACAAACAAATTGAAATTGGAAGGAGCGGGCCATTTGCATAATGCTGACTAAGTGAGAAACCAGATGGGCACTCGAGCATTTCGAGTGTTTCTAGAAGCGGATGCAGCTCTCACACACACACTAAACACACACCTTAAGCACACACAAACACTCACTCACACATACACAAACGAAATTGTTGATATGCAAACGCAGTCATAAAACGTGACATTTGCCGTCAGCTTCAATTTGGCCAAGCCATTGAATGGCCATAAAGTAAGCGAGTGTGCGAGTGTGTGTGTGTGCCGGCTTCTCTGGCAAAAAGGTAGCACAAATTCAAAATGAAACGTAATTTGCATATGGAGGGGGGAAGGCGGTGAAGGAGGCGGGGAGGCGGGAAGGGGCGTGTTCAAGCTGCTCGGGGGCGGCTTTTTATGCACACTCAGACACACAGGAGAATCAAGTAGATGAAGTCGGTAAAGCCAAAAGGTAAAGGTAGAACTTGCCCTAATCTGCATAATAATAAACCACACAAAAACGCAAAACATGAAAACACACATAAATTGCCGCCACCCCCCAGTTTTCCCATTTTGCCATATTTAATGCTGTGTAAATTGAATTTCCATCACTTTATGATTTCTTGATGCGGACTGAGGTGGAAATATTCATCAAGTTGACTTTCTGTCGGGCATCCTGAAGTTTTTCCCTCACTTAATCCCCCGGGAAGAGATCCTCCGTCACTCCGTCACGAAACTATACAAACGACTTCCGATTTCGGATCTAGGACTGCAGTTTGCCCAAGTAACTGGCCATATCAATTTTAATCAAATTGACAGGCACCTGCAGTAATGAAACTTTATTGGCCGCCCTCGCAGGAGCTGGAAATGTTTTCAGGTTTCTCGGTGCTTTATACCTCAAGTGGTCCTTGGGTATTAAAAAAAAATGTATATTGTAAAACTCTTTGGCAAAAAGCAATTCGGGGAAAAGTCAATTTTAAATGCATTAATATATTTATGCTCGGCTTACCTTTCTCTATTTTCTGACATTGGCCACAGTTGTTGATGTTTATACTTAATTATAATATTAATTTATGCGCGGCGCGTTGATCATTTGTTCAATATTGTGTTTGCTGAGTCTGGCATTTGCATTGATTAAAATTGAGTTGAGTTGAATTGAGTGGAAGTTTTTTTTCATTATCGTTTACGGCGCACGTACGTTTTGCATTGAATTGATTTAATTGGAGTAGTTGTGGTGTTGGGGCTTATTTAATTACATTTTATGGGCTATCAAAGTTTCGTAATTTGATTTTAAGTGAGTAAGTTTCATAGTTGATAACAGCTTATTTTGGTTGTACACACGAGATTTTGGCTACAGCTAGGTTCACGTACACGTAAAACTTATCCAAAAGTTGTTGATATATAAAATGCATATCTCGGCTATATATAATTCATGTCTCCTATGCTCCAGTTCCCGCTGAATCCCATTTGGGGGATTTTGGCTCTTCTTGCTGTGCAATTAACAAGTGCAATTGCTGGCATCGCTCCCACTTGATATGATCTTACGGCATAATAAACAATTGAGCTCTCCAGTTGCATTCCCTATTGTCCTGCTCATCCGATCTCCGTTTCCGCATCCTGCGATTTCTGGTCGCTCCGCTCATCAATTTTGACATCGCTGGACTTTAATGTAAACTTATTCCACTTGCGTGTGTGTATGCATGTATATACGTTGTATTCAACATCAATAAAACATCAATAAAAATCGGTTTTGTTAACAACACTTTTATAAAAAAGAACGCAACGTTACGACGGTTGGGTTACACATATATATATATATATTCATATATAAGTACATAAGTCTGCCTAGATATCTATATATTTTGGTATTCATAGATTTTGTGTCTAGTATATATACATTTATATTAACAACACTTAACACACAGAAATGCGTTATGAAGATGTGTGTGTCCTCAGGATGCGGAATGTTCAACAAATTAAGTTGCTCCTTTTTGTTGTTTTTGTGTTGGGTTGATTTCTCGATTGATTTTTGCTTCACAAATTCTAAAAATTTCACATCACAGCCAATGGATACTGACGATGGGACGCATTTCCTCCGCTCCTGATCCTTCGCTCCTCCTTCTGCTCCTTCCTTCTAGTTTTTTGGTTAATTTTTCAGCCTGGTGAAAATGGCGGTGATGATTTTGCGTATGCTGCAGATGCTGTTGAGGTGGCAACGATTTTTTGCTGGCGGCCCCAGCAAACTAACAGTTTGGGGGCCTCTGTTATCCATCTGGGAAGTTGCCAGGTCCCAGCTGGAGCATGTCTCACTTGGGCTCCTCGATGGTCTGCCCGACCACTATGATGATCACGATGAAGACGGCCAGCAGGACGAGGATGCAGCAGATGGCCACGGCCACCATGGCGCTGTTACTCATGCGGGCTTCTTTTTTTACTCCCTCAGCGGTTCACTTTCGAAATGGAATCGAGTGGTTTATCTGGTTTGGTTTTTTTTTGGGAAAGAAAGAGTGGGAATTTACATACTGCCAGCGAAAGCGATAGAGATTGAGATTGCCTTGCCGTGCACAGTTGAGATTATCGGTGGATCCACTGAGCCATCACTTGTCATAAATCCCCCACTCCCCTGAACTCCCGACGACTGTCACTGACAAATGCCATAACCACCACCTATCGCCAACCACCCACAGAAACAAATTGCCTGCCATAAATTGCGAGCGCTGCCTATCAGCCGCTCGACTGTGCATGAAATGCCCGACAGCCTGTGGACAGCCCAAAACTTGTCGCCTCCACTGCGTATGTGTGATATCCCTCCCCCTTTATTCCACCCCATCCAATCCTCCCCCCTCACACACTCACGCACTTCATCAGGAGTGTCCCTCGAGTGGGAATTCGCCCAAAAATCACAGTCCATAAGGGCGAGCCGAGCTGTCCGGGCGAGTCAGAGTCCTTTGTCTGCCGGTGACACATGATTAATGCTGTCCTGCCGGAGAAGGGCTCCCTGCACTTCCTGCCCGCCGGCTGAATGCAATTTCAAGTGTCTATTATCCTGTCTAATAGCTGCTGAGCTGCACTGCTCATCTGCTGCCCAGCCGACGACGAGGACGATAATTGCCAGTGCATTATGAGTAGTGACATGGCAGCCTGGCACACGACACGTATACTTAATTATCGCTGCTGCGCGCTCCCTCCGAAGGGGCGAAAAATTCAATTACATCGAAACAAAACCTGACAAGCCATCCATTCGATTCATTGGAAAGTGAAAATAAAAAATACAAAATATCAAAGTGATTCTGAAGGTCTTTTGGCAGCTGACGAAGCTTAAATACTCTTTATGATAGTGGAAAACTGAAAATTATAATAGCAAATGTTGCAATGTTTGTGAATGACGAGATATATAAAATATTCCCCTTTATTTAGTTAGTTCCTTAACTCATTTTTTCAGATGTAAATATATAGAGTATATCACCCTTTTTAAAAGGTTTGCAAGCAAACCGAAATATCGAACTTGTTTGAAAGAGTATAAAAGCATCAAATAAATGTTCACTTTCGCGCTGTTCTCTCTTTTTTTTTGCACCAGTGAAAATGGCCATTGAAACGTCGCTGACACTTTGGCCAAAACAGGAACCAGACGGGCAACAACCGTTAGCAAGTTTTGATAAGTTTTTGCTGTGCCAAATGGAAGGTGAACGGAATGGAAAATAAAAACTAATGCAGACCCAGTGCTCGCATAAATGGACACAGCTGCTGTCAGTCGTTATCAATGGCAACACGAATTCAATTCACTGCCAACAGCCAGCGGGCCAAAAGGGCAACAAATTCAGAGGGCTTACGGGCTGGAAGGTGGTAGGTGCTTTAAGCTGGCATTTTGGGGGTCAGTTGCTGGAAACAGGCTTTTAATTAAACCGCTCACGCAAATAATTCGGCCTGCTTGACATCAAGAGCAAGTCCTGTCAATGTTTGTGGCAGCTCCCATTTTTCCGTTTGATTTTACCGCACTTAGTGGTTTCCCCGCTGAGCGGATGCTTCAGAAAAAGGCTTGGCTATTTAAATATTTACTTTTATTTATTTGGGCCCATTCGTCTGCGCTCCGAGTGCGTTTAAAGGAGCTCTAAATAAGCCGGGAACTAACTGGCTTTTCGGCCTTTATTGCGCCTCGTTTTCGTGACTCAATTGCTCTTTCTTACTGTCCCTTTGAATTGGTCAATTAATATTAATGAAATGCTCGTCTTCCGCCTTCCCCACGAACACATTTTACCTGGGCCCGCGCCCTGCATAAATTATGCTTTCCCGTCTGCCTTTTTTTCTCCACATACATGTTTGTACATCAAATTTGGCCAACAAAAAAACCAGTTCACAAAAAACTTAAAATTTTCCCCGACTGCTGGCGAATTATGTTGTAATAAGTCAATTTATCAGTTTATTTTTAGCTTACACATGTAAGCCGCGGGCGCATCAATCAAATTATGTTTGCCAAGCGGCAGGCGTAAAATTAAATGAAATGCAGCCACCGCACGGCCAACGTGTCGTATACGCAACGTGGGCAAATACTTGACTCAATTGCCAGCGTTTTGTGTTTTATGGCCGGCGATAAAAGGACGAAATGGTATTCTATTGTTGTTTATTTTGACGAACGAACTCGTGGGCATCGAACGAAGGTCTGAGTCACTTGAAAAGATTTACAACACATTGCAGTGACACACATTGTTGGTCCGTCAGGCTCCTTTGCCTATGAGTCTTAATTAAATTAGCGCCAGAAGGCGACGAGCCACAAACGCAGATAAACAAGGGCCAAGATGACAGGATACCAGCCCCTCATATCAGTCGGCAAAACAAAAGGAAACGTCGAGCAAAAGGCGCTTGTCACTGCCACGCTGTGTGTGTGCTGTGAAATAAAATAAATTTTTGCAATTTCGTAAGTTTTATGCGCACATTTGCAAAATTTGTTTATGCTGGCAAAAGGAGCGGACCGCGCGAAGGGTGGGAGGTCATAGAACAAATGGGCCATGACGTGGACACCCCAAAGACCCGTTGGGAAAAAAAGAAAGTGGGTGGCAGGGAAAGTGGGAAGAAAGTGGGGAAAGGGGTGGAATGGGGATGGAATGGCGCCCTGGAGTGCGTAAGCATCGCCCATCGCCGACTGCCAGTGACGTTGGCAACATTTCTGCGTGCCCTCGTGTGCGCTGGCACATAAATTCAATTTGTTTTCGCCAGCAATTCGTTGAAGGGTTAGGCTCTGCCTGCCTCCGCAGAAAAAAAAAAATTATGGAAAATTGCTGGGGTCGAGGAGGAAAACGTTTATGAAATTGCATGCAGAATTAAAGCCGCCAGGCGAATGGCGAATGCCAAGCGAATCCTTTGTCAAGTTCAACTGCACGGCGTGACCTTGGCAGGATGCGACTCAAGGAGTCCTCTCCGCCGAGTGCTTGTGCTTGTATTTGTGTTTGTGGCCCCTCACGAGTGTGTATGTATGTACATATGTAGTGTGTGTGTGTGTCGGGACAATAGCCGCATAAATGCTCGAGCAGTGCTTTAAGGCTGACGCCGTGTCTTGCGATGTCAAAAGTCAAAAGTGCATTAAAATAATTGCACTTGTTTAGGCGCCACTTGGCAACTGCCAGTGAGCGGTTCTGATTTAAAAGCGGGCACCAATACACACTCAGGTGGAGCCCCGCCCACTTTGACAAAACCTTCCCTCGATCAAGTAAAAAAATATTGTACAAAAACTGCCACTTCGACCATATAAATGTTCTAATGACACCTACTCTATTTTAATTATTGCTATGGAGTAGGGAATAAAGGGAAAAACACGTTTTAATTTATATTTCTATAGGAGTGGTAGAAATCGAATTGAATTTTATTGGTTCATCAATTTTGTACTGTTTGTTTTTATATTTGAAAATAAATGTTTACTAACAAATATCTTTTTATGTGCTTTTCAAGGTTAACAGAACTTCGACTATGCTCTTAATAACATTGGAGATACTAAACAACCTAATCAAAACTTAAGAAACTCAAATCATTTCTTTACGTTGCTATACAGCCTCACAGAATATTTCCTAAATTAAAAAAATATTAATTTAAAAACATATGTGGTCTTTTCAAGGCCATTCAAATATGTTGTTAGCATTTGTTGGATTTCTGGCGGTGTACGTGTGAGGCTCACGTTTCCGCCTTCAACTGCACTTAAACTTGATTTCTGTGTATCCTTTGTCTTAGTTCTTTGGACAAGCGTCTGGGCCTCATTGTATCCCACATGAATGGGGGATTTGTGCTCGTATGCAGGCGCGTGTCTGTGTCCGTGAGAGTGTATGTGTGTGTGACAGTGAGAGTGAGGGTGTAGGTGTGGGTGTGGGTGTGGGTGTAACCTCGACATAGTAGCCGGTGGGTGTCCTTCTCTTGGCCCGCTTCCTGACCCAGCTTGTTGCATGTTTCACGTTGGCTTTTATGGAGGAGATTTTTAAAGCTTACACAAAGATGCTCGACTCTCGTTTGTCTCCTGTCGCTTTATATATTCACGTATCACAAAGAGATATTTTAATATGCCGAGGAACGTGCGACAAAGATTAATGAAATTCCCGCCTTAAAGCCTCATCTCCTTTTGGATAAGTGAATTCAGTTTCCTTGGCTCCGGAAACAGTGCGCATTTGTAGGCAGCACATCACACCCAACAACGGCATATTTTGAAAACCAGGTTGAAATTAAGATTCCCGGAAATGGTGAAAATTGAAATTGTGTAATCGGCCATAATGCCATCTCGGGCTCTGTTTGCCAATGCCATTAGAAATTGGGAATTCGCGAACAGTCGCTGACTCGGGCTATTTGAATTGGCTTCCTGTTCGGGGTTTATTTTGCCATGGCAGCCTCTGTTTATTTATAATTCGATTGGAAATGCGTTCGGCCAAAGAAGTTCATTTGGATGGCGCCACCTCATCGGATTTTATGACCATTTGCGGTTTGTTTATCTTTCTCTCTGTTTAGCTTAATTACCGTGGCATTTCATTCATATTTAATGTGTCGGAAAGTTCTGCCCACCCACACAGAAACTCAATCGAATCGAATCGCTCTTTGAGTGCTCGGTTAATGATTTTTATTGAAATCGGCATAGTTTTCGCTTCACTTCCCAGGCACCCATAAATTCATAATGCAAGGGGAAACTTTAGTTGGCTATTTGCTCTGTCCAGATTGATTAGAAGATTGATGGACCGGCTGCAGCTAAGTGAGAATGACTTCAACTTTGCGAACTACTCGTAATTGATTGGCCTAGTCAATTTCTATTAGTCTTAGAAGCACCAGAGACGAGCTAAAAGGTTTGCTAAAATTGTTTGATCGCGGCCTGCATAAATTATGTGTGTTTTTTGCCCGCTAATAAAGTCTTAAAGCTCGTGAACCTTGTGCAAATTTAATTCCAGCGGTGGGACATCAAAAGACGGTCCCTTTTTTAATCAGCAAACTCATTAGCATCGTCCGCTAACTAAATACAAATTAAAGAAACAGCATCCACAGCTGGCAAAGCCAGTCGCTTTCCCCCCTTTTTCCCGCTTTCCCCCAGCTTTTCCGACTGCTCCTGCTGGTTGCTGAAAAGTTTTCACTCGGCAGCCGTCAAGTTGATGTAATGAAAAAGTTGCAGCGTTTTTCTAACAATATTTCCCAGCTCATATCACATGACGTGGACGTGGACACGCCGGCTACTGGCAGAAGCTGATGCGGAAAGCCTTCAAAACAACAAGCACTCGGCACAGGGCGCTAATTAGTTTCGAGTCGGGGTTTGAATAAAAAAATAATTTGCAAAAAACGTGGCTCATACGCAACGTTGGCCCGCATCCATGGCGCATTATTAATACACACTTTGTTGGTAAATAGCAAAAAACGGAAAGAAATACTTTTTTGAATGCCAACAAAAAGCAGAAATAAATAAACCCCGGCCATGCCTCATGTAGTTTTTCTCTGGACCAGCCGGCGGAAAAATCACTGGCAGAGGAAAAGCCGAACAAAGAGGCAAAGGAAAAGCATGTGAGCAGTGGGTTAGCCGCCTGGAAGTGCAGCTCATTATAAAATAGCCAAGGCAACAAAAACCTATTTCCGATTCGGGGGCGGGTCAAAGGTAGGAACCCCGGTCCCCAAAAAATTCACTTTGAGAACCCAACAGAAATTTTAACGATGCATATAAAAGCCCGGCGACGGCAAATGAATAAATAATTTATGCGTAAGGGTCCTAAACACTCGAGTGGCTGGCAACATTATTTGCAAAGTTGCTCGGATCTTCTCCTTTTTTACATTTTTTTACACATTTTCCACACGTAGCAAATTTTATCTCTCTATTACCTGGCGGCACTGGCTTGATTTAGTGGCGATGTCTCAGCTGGAAAAAAGGGTTGAGCTTTTCCCGCCCCTCCGCTGACTTTTCCCGTGCGTTGCCCGTCGGGTTATGTTTGCTTATCACCTGGCTGGCTACTCAAACAGAGGGAAAAACGATTGGGCCCTCTGTTTGCACATTTGGCACGTTTCAATCTCGCAGCGATTGCCGAACTGCATGCAAATTGCAGGCCGAATCCCCCTTTTTTTGTGGCTAACGGACTTAATCTTCTTGGGAAAGGCAAATAAAAACTGGCCAGAACGCACTTTCGATTAGTAATGAAGTATTTCCCCACTATTAGTAAAAAAAACATACAACGACTTGATCTTCTGTTTGAAAACAACTCCAGTGAATAAGTGAAATTTTATTTACTTATTTAACTTTTAAGTGAACAACAAAATAAAAAAGTTTTCTATTGAACTATCCAATAATATATTGACAAGTTAATATTCAAGTGAGTTTGTAAAGTATTATTCCATGGTTAAGACTTTAAGCTGATATTTCTGTAAAACGTGAACAGAATTTTTAATTTAAATGGAGTGGTAATTGGAGATTAAAGTGGCAAGTCCGTTTGAATAAGTAAATTGCCAATATTAAAGGGCGATAATACAAAACGTGGACTGCATTTAAAAATGAAAATAGATTAAAAATTATAATTGAGTAGCTTTATTGTTATTTATATATTTTATTTATGAGCTGTTATCGTTGCTTAACTTGAATTTAAGCTTAAGCTAAACGCCTTAAAAGAATATATTCCGGATTAGGAGATGGGCAGTGGGTTCAACCCGGTCCCAACTCAAAGTTGTCACTTGTCAGTGGCAGGCGATGCACGAGCGGAAATTGGAAAGTTCGCCCAGACATTGACTCCAATTAAGCAGCTGGCGAACAGGTGAGCACCAGGACAAGTTGTCATAACTGAATTGGACACATTCGCATCGCCGTCGCCCCTTTTGCTCGACCTTTCCGCATTTATCCAGTGTGTGTGGGATTTTATTGCTGCATTGCAAACAATACGAGGGCCACGTTGTAAATCCCCCAACAATTGCCTGCCTCCAATTCGTTTTGTAACCTTTCGTTCCCCAGATTGCTCTCCTGAGTAAGGACGTTCCAAGGAAGCTCTCAGGGCTACCGATTAGGAATACGAGCATGTAGTCATTGTGCATGTGAACTAATAACGCATTTGTATGGCTGCTTTTGAATGGGGAGTTCGCTTGAACCTGAATTCATCCGAAGCAGATTCACTCATTGGAAATAATATCCTTCTCTTTGAAATGAGAATTTTGATGAGATGCGCAGTTATTGTCTAATTCCTAGGAATTGGGGCTGCAATTTACGTTAACTTTATCAAAAGCTCAAACGGGTTAGGTGTCATAATTTTCTTAGGAATTAACTGGCATGGAAAGTTAGTGCCCGAGGCTGCATTAACAACAACTATATTCATATACTCGTATATCATGCACTATTGTTTCACTAATAAAGAAATTTCAACTTGAGTTCTATGGAAAATGCAGATTTCCTTTTAAAAGTTGAGAGCTAAGAAATACAATGCTACAATTCTACAAAGACTATATTCATTTTGAATAAACGAAATAAAAAATATAAAGCTATCATAAAAATTAAGTTAAGAAAGCTATTTAGTAGTTATTCCCAGAACTATTTTGATTGGCTTAATCTTTAAACCAACGGATTTTAGCAATGTTAGCTGTGATTGAAAAATGCTTTTAATTCCAGCAGACAATTTTTGGAGGATCCCCTCTCCCCTCTGCCCAATCGATCACCATAAATTGCCCAACCCACTGTCTTAAGACCCAAATATCTCAATTGCGCACCGCAGCCAAGGCAATTTCAAAAGAATATGTAAATCAGTTCCATTTGAATATTTACGTCTCGCAGCGGAGGGCTTTCTCAATTGATTTGTAATTCACTTTTGTGTTGTACAATTCTGCGTCAAGCTCTTCGTTTGCCCGGCAGTTTCTTATCGCCGGGATTGGTTTGGTTCGGTTTGGATTGGATTGGGATTCGGAGATGCTTTTTGACACCGAAACGGAATGGTTAAGCAAACATAAATATGCAAACTAGAGGCACCGGAGCGGTCAAGGCGATAAGGTGGAAAAACGAGACCGTTAACGGAGTTTCGAAAGCGGGAAAAGTGCGCGCGTTGCTGGGAAAACTGGTTTGCGGGTCCTGTCGCACGATGCGATTAATGACGCGATGTCTGCTGTTCGCAAGCTGCTGTAAGCTGAATCCGGAGCTGGTTGAGTTGGCTGAAAAGCGCGCTGTGTGTTTGCCGCACGGCCGACAGAAATCGACTGAACGCATTCGGCTGCTGCCACGCTTTTTAAGACTGAGAGAAAAGCGGAAAAGTCGGAAAAGCCAGCGAGCGAGAGAGAGAGAGAGAGAGTAAGTGAGAAGAGGACCTGCGATGACATCAAGCGAAAGCTTTTCCATTTGAATCTCGAGGCGGTTAGCCCTCGGCCAATACTACCATACAACTACACAACTGAAATAAATCAAATTGAATTTATGATTTCGTTTTTGTGCACTTCTTCTTCAACTTTTTGTGTTTTTTTTCTCGCATATCGAGTGGCTCCTTGGAGTTGTTTGCCCCGGGATTTCATTTCGCGTTCAGCTCAATGAGCCGTCGATTCTGTTTGTTCGAGTGGCCGACGAGCGCTTTAATCGCCCGTCCAAAGCCGCCACTTGAGACAGCTGGCAGGTGGCAAGTGGCAGATGGTAGATGGTAAACGGGAAAACTGAAAACGGTAGGTGGCAGGTTTCCTTTTGCCAGATTCCAGGTGGCAGCCATCAGGAGTGCAAAGCTGACAGGTGAGAATCTTGTTTGACTTCGGCTTCCGCTCATTATGCTCCGCCCGTTGTGTGGATAATTGCCGCCTTTGCCGAGGCTCCGATTTAAATTGCCAGCCAGCCAGTCAGGGCTTCATTTTCGATTTCATTTAATTTGGCGAAAATCTCATTAGGCCGGGAAAACACACAGTCGACAAGATAAATGGCAGTGTGTTTTGGTGCGAGCCATCCACATTGACTTCGACATTGGCATCAGTATCGTTGAGTCGCAGATACTTTGACCTGTGCCCGGGGCACTGGCGTCTTGACTTTTCCCTGCTCCCGCCATTATTGGTGGTCCGGCGTGCCAAGTCAGCGATTTATTTGGGCCAAACAAAGGCCGGATAACCCAGCAAACAATCGCTGAACCACTGATAAGCGGCGGTGGCTCTTCTTTGTTGATAAGATGGAAATTTAAGAAGCGCAAGCGCGAGCTTTTCCGAGAGCGAGAGCGGAAAATCCCGAGAGCTAACAGCCAACAGCTCCCATCCACTGGCTTAACTGATAAGAAAGCAGACTTCTACTGCCTGCATCTGCGGCTTCAATTGTCTTTAATCGCTGCTCAAACGTCGATGATGTTGATGATGATGATGATGGTGGGAAATGTCCTGGGGATGGGGCGGAAAATTGGGGAGTGAAAAGCCGGGGGACCTTTAACGAATTGTCATTGATTTCTTTTGAAATGGCACCGCTTTTGTTTGCCTTCGCTTCTGCCACATTAGGCAGCTGAGCAGCTGAGCAGCAGCTTCCCAGCCGCTTTTCCCCTGATTACTGCACTCCCGTTTTATCGGGCAATGATCACAAATTGAATTTGCTTCGGCGGAGCAGCTTGGTTCAAATAATTACGGGCGCGTTTAATTAATAAGTTCGCGGCAGTTACAAAGGCCAACCATTTGGGTTTTCCCCTCCGCGAAAAAGGGTCCGCCGGAATATGCTGTTATTGTTTTTGATGCTGGCAAGCAATTAAAAGCACCCAGCACATTGTCTTCTAGGCTTCAAACTCGCTTGACCCCAACTTTGTTTTAATTTGCCTTTGTGCTTGTTTTGAAAAATGAGCAGCCCCAATGTCGAAATAAAAAACTGTCACACAAAGAGTTTGCAAAATGTATACGTATATAAAAAAAAAGAGGAAAACTCGGATCCGGATGGCCAGGGGCTGGGTGCCGGATTGTTTCCTTCCTCCGCTCACTTTTGCCGGTCATTAAATTTTTTCCATTGCCTCTGGCAGTCAATACATATTTGGCCGCGTGCATAAATAATGAGCTCAGTTGTTGTTTGTCCAGATTTGCAAATGTTCTTCGACAGTTTCAATTATTTATTTACCAACCCGAGCAACTACAGTGGCCACTCAGTATGGCATTTTAAACTCTCGTGGTGAAACATGGCTAGTGGTCACTTGAGACTTGGCAATTATAAACTTGTTTTGCCTGAGTTGGTCAGGAGGTATACATAGTTCAGTAGTGAAATGGAGAAGGAAAAACTTTTAAACAGCAGCTTGAGGGGAAATATAATATAACGATGCAGTCGCATTAAAATTGGTTGCAGGTTAAATTTAAAATTCTTCGTTAAACCAGGCATGCCATTTAAAAGTTTATGTGCTTCTCTTAATAGTTAATTTATGTTCATTAAGCTTTAAAAGTGAAACAGAATTCAGATTTAGCTTTTTCTCATATCAAAATTATCACATTCTTAAACATTTTAACCATATTAATAAACATTGTGGCATAATCTCTTTTTAAACTCGAGTTGATTTATTATGGAAACAGTAACATATTTCAACAGTTGGCCTGTTAATTAAGTACCCCTCAATCCCCGCTTAATTAGTATTATATTATTCAACTTTTTAGCACCACTTACCTGCATAGAACAAAGGCAGCAAATTGAAGATGATAACCAGCGGAAATATAGAGCGTGCAAACTTTTGCACATCCATGAGGATGCTGACTGCCGGAGCCGTCGAAGTTGGAGCATCGGAAGCAACCCGTGTGGCAGGGCCGTTTTGAAAGAGCTTTCGTTGTTGTTTCGTAGAGTCCTGGCTGACTTTGGAAGATAGGCGTGATAGGCAAGGGCTCGTGGCGAGACGATCCTGCTGCGAAGTCCCTGGAGAAGCGGCCAGAGCAGCGGAAGGATCAGCCACACGTTGCAGCTGCCAAGTGGCAGAAGCAGCAGCAGCAACATCGCAGGTTGCAGCACTGCCGTCCGAAGGATATCGCATCCTGTGCTGGGTGTTTCCCTCGTTGGCAGCGATCTCATCTGTGGTCCAGGATTGCCGACATTCGCTGGCCGGTACATCATCTGTTGCTGTTGCTCTTGCTCCTGTTGCTGTTGCTCCTGCTGCTGTTGCTGTTGCTGCTGCTGCTCCTTTTGCTGATGTTGCTGCTGCCGCAAGCGTTGAGTGGCATAATGTTGTTGCTGCTGTTGTTGTTGCTGTTGCTGCTGCTGCTTCTCCCTCCGATTCGCTTTGTGTCTGTGTGTGGCACAGAAACGTATCGCTTTGAAATTGCTTCCGTTTGCTGTTGCAGTTGTTCGTGTGCTGCTGCTGTTTTTGTTGTAAAGGTTGTCGTGTTGTTGTTGTTGTTGTTGAAGAAATTGTTGTTGGTGTGTTATAGAAATGTCGTATCTGTGCTGAGGCCATGTTGTGCCCTGAAATGAGATTTGAAAAGGCAACAAAGACATAAAGTACATGTTAAAGACCAATAAGTAAATGGTGTCCACTGAAAAGGGATACAAACACGCACAAATTTAACAAATGGCGTTGACCGCCGTTCAGTTTTGATAATCCAATCGCTTTGATTATCGATTCCTGCAGCGCTTTTTGGAGGGATTAACCGCCACAGGGAATCGGACGGCATCACAAAGCATTTGGGTCCTTGTCTTTTTAATCAATTTCCACTGGAACGCCCATTCGGTTAACGCCGACGGGCAATCCTTTTACTGTTTTCACAAATCCCCGACTCCCATTTAAAAGGGGTTCGCACTGCAAATTCGGTTCTTCATGTTTGTTTTTCAGCTCTCAACAGAGTTTTTGTGTGATTTTCGTTCATATTAAAGCGGACCATCAAATCCGACATTTAAAAGGTAACAAAACTATAATACTATGCTATTATATGCATTTCAACAGTTTAAATTTGGATGCTGAGATTCTGTAATTCAATTATATATCTTGTAGTACACATTAAGTATACGCCATGTATTATGGCAAATGTATAGCATACTGCGTTGAGCTTTCCTTTTACATGCTCGTGTAAAACTTGTAACTTGGTGTAAAAACTCTATAGTTTACATCATTAAAGCTACAAGCGAAGTAAAAGTTACATTTACATACATGTTATACTAGCACAACTGTAAGAGAAAAGCTTTTTCTGTTATCAAAATGTAACCGAAAAGCTTGCAAGGACATACATACTGACACAATGACTCTCATAACAAGGAAATGATAAGAAATTGACTGAATGTTTGCCTTTCCTGTTGTACATTTCTTTACCAATACTTGAAACATTAACCAAGTTAATCCCACAGCGTTCATCCCCTTAGTACTTAATAACCCCAACCAACTACGCCCTTGTGTCGAATACACATTCCTCATTTGCAAGCCATAAAAATATGCGAAATAATCATAAATAACCTACAAGTACACTAGATAAACCCTTGGCGAGTGCCACGCCCATCGGGTCAGGCCAGGCATTTATCAAATTTCCGCCACTCAAAATGTTTTTGGCCGCAATAACAGACGCCGAAACAAGTTTGCTAGCCATCAACCCCGAGGATTCTGCCACTCGGGTTGTGCCTCCCGTTGTTGTAGTGATTACAGACGCTGATAATAAAGTAAAAATTGCAACAATGAACGCATAGACATCATGTCTACGCCAGTCTTGGCCAGATCCAGATCCAACAGCAACGCCCACACGTAGCACGGAGCCATAAAGTGCTCGTAATCAACGTGAAACTGCGACGCACGCACACACGTCTATTGCCGAATGGGTGATGGCGACTTTGTGCACCGAAAAAAATAATAATAATAAGTAATAATAATAGTATTACTTTTCCCTACAAAAAATTGTATCGTTTGTTTTATATTTTTAATTCGGCCATCTCATAAAAAAGCATTATTTATATCAACGCTATTAACTCCTTCTTTTTGGTTTACTACCACAGTTCTTTTAATTTCATCATTTAATAAACATTGGATTAAGTTTAAAATACAAAATACTTCATAATGGGCAACACAAATTTCGAAGATTGGAACAAATATTATTTTTTCAACAGTTACTAATCTTTTTATTTGAATATTTATTTTGTTTAAGTTGTTACTAAAGTCATTAAATAGACAAAAATATTTCACCTGTTTTTATATTTTTTATAGTGTCTGCAAATGCATAATTGGTTATTTTAGAATTTCGATGGACTTTTAAAAGTTTCTCAGCATTTTGCATTTTTTATGACATTTTTTCCAGTGTAGTTCCGCGTGAGTCTTTTCGGGGAAATGTCGGCCACCGGTGCTCTACTGACCGCTGGACGGTGGCTTTCCCATTTTGCCAACGAAAATTGTCTGCAATGCTGCACTAATGTCATCAGGGCGTATGCGTAACTAGGTGAATGTCGAGTGCGGAGTGTTGGAGTGCTGGAGTGCCGGAGTTTTTCGGAGGCGGGAGAAAGAACGAGAAGGGGAGGGAGTGGGGTGG